AACAATTCATCGAGCAAAAATATTTAACTGAATTTGACTTGATCAAATATTGTTTTGAAGTTTAAACTTTGATCTGATTTTGCAGTGCATTAATTGGATTACTGTAAATTGGCATATAGAGTGCCTGGGTACAATATATTTGATCAGTGAAAGACCTATATTATATCTAAAAGGATACACTGCAGACAATCTACTAACACAAACAATGATATACTTACCAATCTACAATTACTCAACATTTCAACACTCAACAAACTTATGCTACAAGTTAGTAGCAGTAACATAGAAAAATGCTTTAATACTAACACACTCCTAAACCAAATCTCTATATATTAGGTTAAGAATTAGCTTTTTAAAATATAGAAACCATTTCTAACTCTTTTTGTTAATCAATAAGAAGTAACCAATATTGTTTAGAAGAATCTAATTGTTTTCTTAAAGTAGTAATAATATTGAAAGCTACATCAGTAATAGATCTGTTTTTGATAAATTCATATTGTTGGTAAGATACTATCTTATCATATATAAGGTTAAGACAATTGACTAAAATCTTTATAAAAATTTTAGCATCACTATTTACTAGAGATATTGGTCTCTAGTTATTTACATTTTTGAGGTTTTTTGTTTTTTTAGATATTAGTAAAATTAAACTTTTATATCAAGAAGTTGGCATAACTCCTAAACTAAGAGCATAATTAAAAACATCATAAAAAACCAATATTATTACTTTTTTAGTAAATTTATAAAACTTATATATTAGTCTATCTGTATTAGGAATCTTATTGTTTCAGAAATTTTTGATAATATTGCTAATTTCCTTTTGTGTAATTTTTGTATAAGAGTCAAGTTATATGCAAAGAAAACTTGTAGCAAGTTTTTTGTAATTTTTTTTGTTAAGTCGATATCTATGTTCTCTTTTTTATAGATTTTTGCATATTTATCTTTTATGTTCTCTTTTTTGTAGATTTCAGTATATTTATCTTTTATATAGCAAAAAGTATTTTCTTTTGTTTGTTGTAAGGCTTTAGGATCATTAATATCTTTTATTGCTAAGCATGCTTTTCTTGTTTTATATTAGACAAAAAAGTATTATATAGATTTTTTATCTTGTTTAATCCATTGAGCTTTAAAATAAGTTTGTTATTTTTTAGCAAACTAAAATAACTCTTTTTGAAAATTTGAGCTTAGTATATTAATTTGTGAATGTAGATAATTGTTTTTAGGATTATGTGTTGGTCTTTTTTTTAGTTGAGTAATGTTTTTGTTTAGTTTTGTAATTTTGTTTTCTGTTACTCTAGATTTTCTAAAGGCTCTAATAATAGATTGTATATGTATTTTGTGAAAGTTCCAATCTTCTGCATTTTTTAAATCTAAAGATTTCATTTAGTATTTTTTTTTTTTAGTCTTTTATTCTTAAAACAGTTTTTATTAAACCTTTAAAGAGCAGATTCTTTTTCTTTAGAGTTGAAGTTTAGAGTGCACTCAACTAGCAGGTAATCTGAGTTTTCAAATTTTGTATTAATTTTTAAAATTAAGTAAGCATTGTTTTCATTAACAAAAATATAATCCAAATGTATAACCAAAGTATGATTGTCTTAGGTTTTTTGAAAAAATATATAGAATAGTTTTGTTTTTGCAAAGTTAAAAAAATCTAAAAAATTTTTAGTAAGATTTTAAAGCTGTAATTTTGTAGTATTATGTTGTAAAGCTGCTTTACTAATTCTATTTTTTTTTTAATATAAGTTGGTATTGAAGTTATCTTTGATAATATTAATAACATTTTTATTAATTTGAGAAGACTACTTTTTGAAAAAAAGTTTTTTGTCTTCTAGGCTAGATGAAGTATATATATTGAAAACTTTGAATGTAAGCTTTTTGTACTTGAAATTGGCTGTAATTAATCTATTATTTAGATTTAATTTTATGTTTTTAAAGGTTATATCTTTGTTGTCTGCAAGTATAACTAGTTTGTTTATTTAAATAGAGTCAAAAATCTATTGATTTTTGAGAAAGCTTTGTATGCTTTTGTTATTTAGATTTGTTTTTTGTAGCATAATTAAGTCTAGTTTATATAATTTTAAGAGAGTTAAAATGTTCTGTTGTTTTTGTTAGTTGTTTAATCCTTTTATATTGAAAGTTGTTATTTTGAATTTAATGTAATTAATTGAGTAGTGATACAGATTTAAATCTGGAAGTTTTATACTCTATTATTAGAATTTTTGTATAAAGCCTTTCTAATTGGCTCAGCTCTTTGTTTTGTAGAAGTTTTCTTATTTTTTTTCTTCTTATATGAAACAACTGTAAATTTCTTCTTGATATTATTAAAATGAGATTGCAAATTAATGTTATTTGTAATTAGTACCAAGAGAAAATTTAAAGCTTAAGGTTTTTCTATTTCTGTAATAGTAGTTCTAGAGACATTGTTGATAAAAAAGTTTTTTTTATTAACATTACTGAGATTTTCATTATAAGAAACTTCTAGATTTTCTTTCATTATTGCAGAGTTTTCTATAATTTCTTTTTCAACTTTTTTAAAATTAGTTGTTTTTTAGAATTAGCTAAAAAAATTTCTTTAGCTTAATTTATATTCATGTTTAGATCTTTTATAAAAACATTATATTCTTATATTTTGAAATTTTCTTTTTCTTTTTCAAAAGAAGTAGTTTTGCTTTTTTTCTTGTTTGCATTAAACTTTTTATATTGTAGTCAGAGTCTTATTACTTGTAAATACTAGAAGTATTTCTTTTTAATATGTTCTTTTCATTACAGAAGAAGCAAAATTTTGAAGCTAAGCACTATTTTGTAGTAATTTTGTTGTTTATAAGAATATAAAATTATATGATTCTTTTTTCTAGTCTTGGGTCATTAGTAGTTTCAATTATAATAATCTATTGATTTATTAAATATAGTATACTCTTAATTAAAAGTAGTTTAATTGAGGTAATTTTGCCTATGTTATTGAATTTTCTATAATTTTTTTTATAATAAGATCTTTGTCACTTAATGAAATATTTTTAATTTTGATTAAAAGAAAGGATTTTCTTGCATTAAAAGAAATATAACTATAATATATTTTGTTAAAAATTTGTATTTCTTTAGAAGCATAATGCTTTAGTTTTTCTTTGTTTGAAAATACTAATTCTAAGTGAATATATATATTTTTTTTAATATGTGGCTTAGCTGTTATTATATCACACCTTGCAGTTTTATAAAGTAAAATCAAAATTTTATTTAAAAAGTCTAATAGATACTGAATATCTAAAATAAGAGCATTATTATTTTTGATTTTATATTATTTCTTAGTAGAACAGAGAAGAAAGTTGACTGTTCTCTTTTAATTTTAGCAAAGAGACTTGTCTAGGACCTGTTTGAGATTTTTTTGCTTTTGTTTACTTTAGTTAAACTTGAGTTAGTTAATGGAACTATATATAGATTTATATATATTGTTATTGTTAGTACTAAGTTTTTTTTGTTATTAGATTCTTTATTATATGTTTTATAAACAGATGTATTTAATTTATTGTTTTGATCTTCTCTTCTTTTAGAGAAACCTTCTATTATTAGAAAAATTTTAAAAGTAATATATATCATTAGTAATTTCTAAATTACTAATAATATATAGCACTCTTGCTGAATATTATTATTAATAATTAATAATAATATATAATAAAAATTTTATTAAATTTTTTTAAATTTTAAATTTAGTTTTCTTGATAATTTTTTTTTGGTATTAAGGTAAGGCCTTGCTTATATCTTTATTAATAGTTTTTAAAGTTAGTAACTTCATAGAGTTACTATGTACAAAAATAATTCTATATAAATGCTATAGCCAAGATCAACACTTGCAGTTAGGACTAATTATTAAACTGCTAACTATATATAACTAGCTTAAGTACAAAAGGAAGAAAACTACATTCAAGAGTAAAATTTAAACATATTTATATATAACCTGAACCTACTAGAATGGTCAAGACTTACCTAGATTTGAATAGTTAAAATATGGTTAAATAAAATATTGTATTTGATTAATGTTGTTAGCTAAAATTATTTTATGCTTGTCAAAATATTTCGATATTTTATATTTAGGCATGTCAAAATTCTAAAATAGTATTGAATTCTAAAGTCATATCAAAATTCTAAAGTCATGTCGAAATGTTTAAATATTGTCGAAATGTCCAAATATAGTAGAAATATCAATTGTCGAAATGTCTAAATTAAAAATATAAAGTACAGAAGAAAAAATTCGACTTATTACTGTTAATAAAAAAATTTCAATATTCTATAGTTATCCCATATCTACTATATACTATAATAATAAAAATTAGAAGTTGTATTCATAGTAGTAAAATTACCCTAAAAAAGCATGCATGTTATATATATTAATTAGAGCATCTAGCTAATTATGCTAGATATTAACTTTATTGAATAAATTTTATTAACAATATGCAGTATACATCAGTGCAATTGATGTATGAACTAAGACAGGATATACTCCCAAAAATAGCAACTATAATTGTGCTAGGTATTACTATCATCAGCTGAATTCATGATGTGAGGCATCAGCCAGTGGTCTCCCACACTGCATGAAGCAGGCCAGCTTTAATATGAATTTTATATAAAATTTTAAGTTGCTACAAAATTGCAGGATTCTATGTGATGGGTGGATTAGGGTGCAAATTTTGGCACATATTGATGGATAGTGCCGATAGTACAATCGTGTATTCCTTCTTATATTCAGCTCTACTAATGCAACTATATTAGCGATTTCATGAATGACTTAATAAGCCAATTGATTAAATCTTAAATTTATGCTTATCTGACTTTATGTGCTCATTCACATACTATCCACTTATCTTTATTCCCAATTAGGCTTAATGGCTGCATAATTAGATCTAACCAGATTGTCACTGGCATATCCCTGCTTAGCAACCTTTTCGATCTGTTGACTATTGTCAACTCGAATTTTCCCAAGATAACTGCTATTTTGGGGTTTAAAAAATTCAAGTTGACAATACCCCAAAACCAAGCTGGTTAGGTCCTAATAGGCAGCCATTAATATTGGCTAGGCAGACAGATGCCTTAATTGGGCAGAAGCATACTTCTGTACTTTTCGAAAAAAAAAAATATATTTATTGACAGATATCCAAATCTGTTTATTGTATGAATTTCACATGTTATTAAGGTTCAAATGACTAACTACTTTACTTTTTTATTTTTTCTTAAATATTTTTTCTGAGCTTATTTGAAATTAATAACTTGTTGGAGAGGGAGTAGATTTCACATGAATCTGTAACTGCACCCATGCCCTATTAGGAAATTGAAGCAAATTACTGTGCAAGTTAAACAGAATTCTGTATCGCTTGGAGCAAAATGTTGATACAAGGAAAAATACAATGGATAAATAGGTAAAATGTAGCAGAACCTATACAAGTTGAAGTAAATTATGTGCAGAATGAAGCAGAATTGCTTTAACTATTTTATGTATTAATATGATTTTGATTTGAGTCTAATTAATATATAAGATGAAATCAATTTTATTTGCATCATGTAATTTAAACTTGCATAATAGTAACAAATATTTTAATGATAAAACTAAACACTATAAAATTATTATTTATTCAAATTTAAAAAAAAAATAAAATCATAAAATAAATCTTTTTAGAATAATCTTTTAACACTTTTATAATTAATACATTTAATTATCAAACATTGATTTAACCTCTGCATCAAATTTGTCTTCATCAAATTCTTCTAATTCATCATTATTCAGTTCCTTATCTAAATCATTATTATTATCATCAATATTTTCATCATTATTATTTGACTTGAAATTATTTAGCATTATCAAATCTTTTATTTTCAAATTTTGATATTTAACTTCAGAATCATCAAAATTATCAGGTTCGTCCAAATCATCTATGCTCTCTTCCTTAATATCTTCAGAAAACAAAGTGACATCTTGAAAAACTGTTTGTATTTCCTCTTCTGTTAATTCTAGTCCATAATAGTGTAATTCTTGTTTTGTATTTGACATTAAATAAAAGCTTATTTTTTAGCATAGCTTCTAAATTTTGTGTTTCTAACCTGTTACATCGATCTTCTAAAATCCATTCACAACATGACCATACATGCTCACAACTTGCTGCATGAGAATGTACTGAAAATAGTTTAACTGCTAAAGAAGAGAGAACACCTAATTTATCTTTAATACCATCACCAGTAGTTTTTCACCATTGAGTTGGACTATCAACTGCTGATATATAAGATCCATTATAAGGTTCTTCATTGCAAGCATATTTATGCAATTGTGCTTTTAGTATCTCTAAATCACCTTTTTTTTTGATCCAATCATTTTAATCCATAAACAGCCTGCAATTCCAGCTACTCGAACAAATTGTGATTGTTTGATTCCAGCACCTATAATTTTTAAAAAATATACTGTATATTTAAAAAAAAATTATAATAAATATATATTTATTAAATTAAAAACAAACCTCAATATTTAGGATATAAATAATATGCTAATAGATACTCATCATAGTCAAATATATGAAATCTTTCATTAAAAATTAAGATGCATGTATAGTAAAACATTAAATAATGATCTTGAAAAATATTTTTAATAACAACAGCTAATTTAATATATTCTAAATAACATTCTGCCAAATTAGCTGTTTTACTTTTAAGACATCTAATAGTATCATTGATTGGTTTTAATATATTAGAAAGATCTAAAACATTATCAAAAAATTCATGAGATTTTAGATATGTTTTGACAATTTTTCCAGTTTTATTGTTGAATAAATGCACGTTTTGATCTAAAATCTTTAAATATATTAATTAGAATTATTAAAATATTAAAAATATAAAATATAGTATATTTAAAATATATTTACTTCTTCCAAAGATATTTTGTGATGATATATTGAATATACACATTCATATGCACTAGTTCAGTAAGTCTTAGTATAGTTTTTTAGTCTATCACCATATACATTTTTGTTTATAATTAAAAAATATAATTGATATGATGAATTAAAAAAATTTACAATTGCAAAGCATTAATAAAGAATTTTTTTAGCAAATTTATGCTTTAAAATATCATTAGATATTAAATTCATACAGTGCACAACACATCGTAGATTTAAAATATGTGGATGCTGTTCAGAAATTAATCGACATGCAATGGCACAATTTGAACCACCATCAGTTACTATAGCTTTGAATTTATGTACACCAAATTCATCAAATACTTGTTGAATACAATTCCATAATATTTTACCAGTATGGCTTCGATTGGATAAGTTAATTAATTTTCAAAGATATTCTTGTCCAGCAGGAGTATGAATTACAAAATTCCATAATAATTTTCCACTTGGATCTGTCCACCCATCTAAATCTATTTAATTATATATATATATATATATATATATATAATTAAATTATATAAATTAATTAAATAAATAATTTATAAATAATACCAAGAGTCAAATTGCTTGCTTTTTCTAAAACATTAATAATATTTTGATTAACTTTAATTATTTCAGCATTTAATAATTGACCTGCAAGTAATTGTCTTGATGGTAGTTGGTATTTAGGCCATAATTCTCGCAATGCATCAATAAAATATGGATTGCTAATAATATGAAAAGGTATATTACAGATTATAAATGCTCTAACTAAAGCTAAATTAATATTACTTTCACATTGTGGGGTCAGTTTGGTGCTTTCTAAAAACTCAGATAATGGTGCTTGATCACTAGCTAATTTATGTTTTCTTTTACTTGGTTCAGCTTCAGGTATAACTTCTTAAAATGCTGCCTAGCTATAACCTTGTCAACTAGCAATAATTTGAGTATAAAAATTTACAATTTCTTTATCTTGGTTTGGACAATCTAAAGCTAAATGCTTTTCTAAGTCCACAGGTCTGGCATGCACCCAAAAAGATCTACATTCTTTACACTGTCCTGAACAGTGACCTTTTACAGAAATACCTTTATAAAAAAAATGCCAAACTCCTGCAGGTGTCATCCAGCAGATTTTTTTTGAACGGATCCTTGGGGATTTCCACTTTGAGAATTTTTACCTTAAGAAATTTCACTTTGAGAAATTTCATATTGAGAATTTTCATTTTGAGAATTTTCATTTTGAAAATTTTCATTAAAACTTTTATTATAATAAGTTTCATTCATTTTTTTTTTTAAAAAAAAAAAGATGCTATGAAATAAAAAGGTATGTATTTTAAAATATTCAATTAAAAAAGTCAATTCAAAATTTTTTTTTTAAATTGATATAAATGAATTATAAGAATTTAAATACTGAATTTAAAGTATAAATTGATATAAATCTTTATTTATTAATTAATATGCAGAAAGCAAAAATATTATAAGAACTCGTAAATGCTTAAATTGAAAATGTTA